TCTCCCCAAAACCCCAAAACCCCAAAACCCCAACTAACATCTTTGAATAATAAAATTAAATGGTTCAGTGCTCGATTCATCCTAACCGCAAATGAGAATTCTACTGCGAAGATTGTCAAACAGAGGTAGGCCTTGTCTCATCTCTCTAGGTCTGCAACATCTGCAAAAAGAAGGATCATAAGAATCATAACTTAAGCAGACTAAAGAAAAAGAGCTCGAAAAAGGAGGAAAAATGTCAAAAACATAACAGAATTGTCATAAAATTAGGAGATAGTACAAAAGGATGTCTCGTCTGCTTGTGAGCTCTGCATTTTGATCCTTAGATATCAACAGTTCAAAGATTTTAGCTTCCTGAAGGAAGTATCTCTTCCTAAGAAAACTCAACTATCATGGCTCCAAGAGTGTCTAAACAAAGAAGAGGTTAGTTATCGGAGCAGCAGTTATTGATTTCATAGTCCAAAACTGAAAACGATGTGTATACACACCAATTCGAGCTTGTCAGATTCCAGTCCATGATCGATGAACTTATCACAGAGGATGAGGAAGGTAAGCTTTAAGAATAAACAAATAATGATTTAGTAACAAAAGAGAATATCCAAGCATGGGTCAAAACTAATCTTGATGGTACTCATTGAGCTTATGTGTAGGTATCAGTGTACAGGAGCATGTGAAGAAGGGGCTCGAGGACACACTTGTGCCCCTAACTGACCCTGAAGTTTGTGGAAAGGTTAATTTTAACCTTTCTGAGGCATTTGAAAATAAAATCACAGCAGCGTTATCGTAAATTTTGGGTGTAATTATAGAAAAATTATGTCTTCTATTCCAGACGACAACGTATTGGATGGTCCAAAATACATATTTGATTCAACAGATGTTTATGCCAGAACTCTCAAGCATACCTTCCCCCAAACAATATCAAAAATTTTAGATAAAACCTTCCAAAATCAACTCAAAAACTTCATCTCACCACCTCCAGGCACTCCAAAAGTAAGTAAATCAATTTCTAAACACCCAAAACATCTCCAAAATCTCTCAATTTTATTCTAAACTCAATTTTTAGCTAAAGTTCAAAATCTACCAAATCGAAGACTTCCAAGCCCAGCTATTTAACCTCAAAAATCCAATAAAGACTTAAAACTTAGTTTCAATACTTAAAAATAATATTGGGGTTTTGGGGTTTTGGGGTTTTGGGGTTTTGGGG